AGATTCAAAGAAGTCAGAGAGGAATTTGATTCTAGAGCCTTTGCCAAAGCTGTTGCTCCTGTATCTCCAATTTGATTCCTCTGGAGATTCAAAGAAGTCAGAGAGGAATTTGATTCTAGAGCCTTTGCCAAAGCTGTTGCTCCTGTATCTCCAATTTGATTCCTCTGGAGATTCAAAGAAGTCAGAGAGGAATTTGATTCTAGAGCCTTTGCCAAAGCTGTTGCTCCTGTATCTCTAACTTGATTCTCCTGGAGATTCAAAGAGGTCAGAGAAGAATTTGATTTTAAAACTTTTGCTAAAATTATAGCTCCAGCATTTTTAATTTGATGTCCCATAAAATCTAATAATAAACATTGATTTTGATGATTTTGTGCTTCTGTTTGATCAAACAAAGATGATAGCTGCCTATAAAGAGTTTCATTTGGTTTAATTTTTAAGAACATATGAATGTCAATCAGTGCTTTGTTGTACTTGCAAAGATCAAGATAAACAGCTGCTCTTATGCCTAATGTGTTTATATTAATATTATTTTCTGGCTGAATTGCTAATAACTTGTTGAAATCATTTAATGCATTATCATACTGTTTGAGTGCATAATAGATCTTCCCTCTTACTCTCAATGCAAATGTATGATCTGGTTCAGCATTTAAAAATTTATCCAAGTTCCCCAATGTATTAACATATTGATCAACATCAAATCTGACAATTCCTTGTTCCATTAAGATGAGCATATTGCTTGGATCCATTCCCAGTGATTCATCAAAATCATTCAATGCAGAGTCATATTGCTCAAGCATGAGATAAACATGCCCTCTTAGATATTGTACTATTGTATCAGTTGGTTTAATTTGTAATAATTTATTGAAGTCTTTTAATGCATCTTCATACTGACAAAAATTAAAATAAACAGCTCCCCTTACAATCAGTGTGTTTGCATCATTTGGTTCAATCTCTAATAGTTTAAGTTGATTGAAATCATTCAATGCCATTTCATACTGGTTAAAAATGTAGTAGATGTTACCCCTGGCTTCTAATGCAAGTGCATCACTTGCATCAATTTTTAATGATTGTTTAAGATCTTTAAGTGCTTGTTTGTACTCTGATTGCTGCATATAATATTTTCCACGCCAAGCCCATGCTCTGGCATTGTTAGGATTATTTTTTATCGCTTGAGTTATGTAATCATAACATTGTTGATAATTTAAATTTTCCATACATGCAACAGCAAGGTCAATTTGAATAGTTACACTGTTGGGATAATGAATAAGTGCTCTTTCAAGCCATAATATTGCATCTTTATATCTTTTTTCATCAAGAGCTTTCTTGCCTTGCTTGTATGTAGGATGTAGACGTTTTGGTCTCCTCATTTTTTGTAGGATAGTTTTCTTTGGTTTCATTTTAAGCAAATATAAAAACTTTGATTTTATAATAGAAGCTTCCTCAACATCTTCATTGTCATCCTGACTCGCCACAATAGCTGTAAAGTCTTTTGTTTTGTCTTTTGGTGGTGTAATATGTCCAGCTCTGACAAATTTTTCATACAATGCTTTGTAAATTGGTGAGCTTGGTAATTTATCAGTTTCATTTAATTGACACTTTCTTCGGCAATAAAAACATTTCAGTTCAAGACAGTTCATCCTCATGAATGTTTCCAATGCCAGATAACTGATTTTGTGTTTACATGGAAGTATTCTAAAATCTTCTGTAACTTCTTGTGTAAATGGGCATGTAAGATGATCTGCAACCATGTCTAAAATTAATAAATCATTTGGATTTGAATTAAGAAGTTCTTCAGGCATCTGCTCTGGTTTTTTTGCTTTCTGTCTTGAGACTGACATTTCAAAATTTGCTCTGCTGCCTGCCTGATTGATATATACATATTTTTTATCAATGTATTCTCTCATGTCTTGAAACCATTTTTTTATCTTGGTCCAAGGTTGAAAAAACTTTCAGCATGTTGATCTAGATCAACTTGCACAACAGAAAATGTAATTGAATCTTTTTTATAAAGTGTTACCAGAACTTCCATTGCTTTAAATTGAATAAACTCTACTCTTACTATGTCTAGGGATAGTTTTGCAAGATAGTAACAATGAGCCAAGGTATTAATATTTTTTGTAGAGATTATAAGATTTTGAGCAATATCCAGTATACCAAACAATAAAGAGTATGGAACTGATTCTGAGATATAATCTGACATGATTTTTAGTTTAGATTTATATCCACTTATTTCTGATTGTGCTGAAATTGCTTTATGCCATTCTTGGTCCCCAAATCTCCAAAGATCCTTAATAAGCATTAATTCTCCTTTAACAACTAGACTCTTGTGAATTGGAACAGCTGACCATTCAACAAATGCCTGATATATGCTATATAAATATCTCCATTCCTTGTACCAATGTCCCACAGAAAACTTAGATTGTAAGGTCTTGTGAATCTTGTTATAAATATCAATAGTAACCCTGTTATCAAATGGAGTTTCCCCAGTTGTCATAATACCAGTCACACTTGGCAAAGTCTTGACAAGTACAGAAAACAGAGCCTTTAACTGATTTACAATTTCAAGCCAAGCAGTTTTGTCATCATCCATCATATGAAGAGTATTATAAATATGCATAAGTAAAAAATCAACATTGTAATTTTGAGCTTTAACACCTTCCTCCAAATTATCCAATAAGCCACATGTAGTTTTTAAGCCATTTTCTAATGCTTTGATATAAGACTGGTGAATACCATGTAGTTGTACAAGATTCTCATACAGAGTTTCATAAAATTTTCTTGCCATTTTAAGAGGTCGCTTGTTATATACTTCTAAAAGTAATGCATATATCCTAAAATGCTGTTCCAATTCCATACCAGTAGTCATTGTATAGTGATCATATTCAACTCCACTTGCTATGATTTTTAAGACATTTCCTAAATGATTATCATCTAATGAAGTGCCAAATGATAGCAACAGGTTGTATAATTTAATGAGATGACTTGTTCTGTCATTATTGTTGACGATTGATTCTAAGTTGGTTGCTAATTGCTCATTTAATTCACTGCTGCTCAGATTTAGGGGAAATGATCGTTCACAGTCTTCAGAATTATCACTCTCACTGTCACTTTCAAAGGTGATGAGGTTTATTTCAGTGACATCTTTAACCTCTGCATCTTCATGCTGCTTCCCCTTTCCTTTATTTTTGGTACCCGAAGATGATTGCTGTCCAATCTCCTAATGATATTAATTTAAACTTTTCAATTCTCTTGAAAAGGAGCTTATTGAATGTATTAACCAAACTTACCCGGCTGTCTACTGGTGATGAATACTTGTGGTCCATGCCAAATACAAAACTGTATTTAGTTTCAAAAGCAATTTTTTAGCAGCGAAATTCGTTTGTTTATGTTTGTATGACGTGATACAATTGGAATGAACCAATTAGTACATCAAATTCTGTCACCATCTAGAAGTTTTTTGCTTGCTTTATCGATCAGGTCCGAAGTTAGATGAGTCTTTTCTGTTCAAAGTCTTGTTTTTTTTAAAAAAAAAAAGTGGTAATTCTAGATAGGTATATGCAACAAGAATAGTGTAAATCAAGTTTTGCTATACGAAAGGTTTATTCCCATAATCATATAACGAGTGACTCTGATACAAGAGAATTTGTTGGCCCGACCCGCTTTCTTATATCGAGAGCCACTTGTATATTGTTCGAATAATGGCGATCTCAGAGTATATTTACTTCGATGTTGTCATATAATTTATGCACGCGAATACCTTTAAAGATACCGTAACGATAACAGGGTTTAATATCAGTAATTTTTCGCTAGGACAAGTAGCAAATCTTACGTTACGGCATATCCCTGAATTTAAAAGCGCATCAGAGACAAACTTGAATGAAACCAAGTTATATTACAAGAGACACAGAGATCCACACAAAAGTATTATGTTATCATTATTACATTATTCGATTTTATTATGAGTTCAAAATAGAGTTATTACACAATATATATACAACAATAAGGCCTTCCCAAACAAAAAGTAAAATCCAAGTTACACATGTCAACCGACTCCTTGTTAAACCTTGCGTTCTTCGAGATATGCTTCTAACTTACTAATATCATTGACCAACGAGAACTTAAAGTGAAGTGGCTCATCGGGTTTGACTAGCTTGAACGTATACTTGCGATATACCTGAGCCAGGATAGTCTTCATCTCTGCCATTGCAAAGTTCCTGCCAGGGCATGCTTTTACTCCTTGACCGAAAGGTGAGAATGCATACTGAGGATATCGCTCTTTCCAATTACCAGCAAATCTCTCAGGATCGAATGCGTTAGGATTAGGGAAGTATCGAGGATTTCGGTGCATATGAGCAAGATTGATGGTGAAAATTGTGTTGGCTGGAAAGACATATTCCGCAATTTTAAGTTCGGTTTTTGGACTGTATCGGTATGTAAGAGGCACCACGGGATACAATCGCATCGTCTCATTAATAACCATCTCGGTATACGTCAACTTGGAGAGATCAGCAAGTTCGATATTTCTATCCTTCCCGAGGACACTGAACAACTCGTTGACCATGCGCTCTTCGCATTCGGGATTCTTGGCAAGCAAATAAGCCACGGCGCAAAGAGCACTTGTGGTAGTGCCAGTACCAGCACTAAACATTTCGCGAATGTTTTGTTTTATGATATCCGCTGAAGAATCTGTTTCACCGTTTTGAGTTAGAAGCATTGTTAAGAAATCATCTCGTACGCTTTCTTTCTCGTTGTCTTTTTGATCCGTTTTTTGGAGCGATTCCTTGCGTTTGTTGATAAAATCGACCTCAAAGCTTGTGAGATTGTCGAGAACATTGCGATAACGTTGAACCTGGTTTCGTATTATTGGGAGAGACCACAGAATTTTTGGCACGAAAATGAAAAAGGCAAGTGCGTCCGGGTATTCGGTTCGAAGGAGACGATATTGCTCCCCGCGGCTGAGTGATTTGGTTTGTTTTCCTTGACCTTTCAAGCCATGTAATTTCTCGTAATAGATTCGCATCGAGTCTTCTTTTGCACCTGATGCAACCAAGCCCATCATGTCACTGGTGAATGCACGATACCATTCGTCTAGTCTGACCATTCGGTCATGTTTCAATGTACCCCAATATTTGGTTAATTCGGCGCATGCTTCAGCGGTATATTTAACACTGAGTTTAATAAACGATGGTGGGGATAGTGATTTTGTGAAAAACTTTCGGTTGTGTCGCCATTTGTCTACATCGTGATTGAGCAATAGACCTTCGCAGTCCATTCCCACGGCTTTGAAGCCTTCGCTGACCGGCAGTCGTCGTAAAAATGGAGAATAAACGTTTGGGCTAAAGAGTTCCTTGAGGTATTCGGGTTTGCTGATGATCACACAACGATAGCCAAACATGGTAATTTCACAAAGTTCACCATATTTGTCATTGAGTTGTGATTTCTTGTCGGCCACATTACCGATAACGTGATGTAAATGGCCGATGATTGGTAGAGGGATCGGACCAGGTGGGCGGCTCTTGCGTGTTGTAAAGTATAATCGGTATGTTTTAAAGATATAAACAAAGACTATTACAGCGAATATTAGAGTCCAGTCTACTCGAGACAAGATTTCGTTTCGGAGATTTGATATTATCGACATTTTTCTGTTATGTTGTTGACTGTGTTTGACGAAATTTAGAGTGATCAAGCGTCTCTTATTAATCATTTTCTTGACAATTGTGAAAGGCTGTTAGCATTGTGGAAGCCATTTGTATTGTCTTGCGTCGATTTAGTATTGTGAGTGTGCATCCATTGTCTCTTGGTCTTATCATTGTTGACGATCACTCCATATCGAGTCACAACAATATATACAATTAGTTGCACAAATTTGGTGATATTGTTTGTGACATTAACTAAAAAACTTAATAATCGTTTTTTATGCGTCGATTCGGTTGGACGACATATTAATATATAATATAACAATAAAAGTTTAGCGTTGAATTTTTCAAAACGCAAAATACAAAAACGTAATAGTAATATATTTATACTGGTTAATGGGTTATCATATTAATACAGTAATATTGAATCTCCGTTATAGTTATGCGGACATCAATCGAATATTATCTTTGCAAAAGTGATCAGTGATAATGTGCATGTGAATGTTCACATCAATGAGAAAGATAAAGCATTGTTCATGCTACATGCAGGCGGGAAGAAAGAATCTCTTATGTTAATGATACTACAAGCCCAAAAACGGACATGACCCGGTGCTCGATATGTAGGTCGAAATTTCGTCATAGTTTATAAATTCCCCATTGTGTCAACAATTTTCAATGACAGGGTCTGATACAGGCTTAAGTAATTGTATTGTTCATCATTTTACGCAATAAAAAAATGCGTCATCACAACTACTATTTTAATTTGGAAACCATTTAGAGACACATTCATTATAAAGATGCGGTGCACCATATGTATTAACTGAAGAATAGCGATTTGTGCCAACGTCGTTTTTTTCGGATAATGTGGACATGCGATTTCTAATACCAATCAGAGTGAAATATAATTTGCCCAATGGGTATCGATGCTGAATAAACGTCTCCCAAAGGAATAGAATTTAGTCTGATGCAAGAAATGTCTATTTGCAAAGTTTTCATGAAACGACATCCGATGGTAAGCCATCCATGGTTCTATTTTGTCGTTGAACATATTTAAGTAATACTAAAAGACTAGCCGGCGTCATACCTTCGACTCTCTTGGCTGCTCCCTGCACAATGAATAAATCATATGAATACAAATAATACGAATACAGAGATTGAATAATTGATAATCGCATTGACAAATATAATTTGTTCTTACCAAGGTGGATGGTCTTATCGTTTTCAACTTTGTCCTCGCTTCTGTAGAGAGATTGTGAATCCTACATAGGATTGGAAGATATAACAATCGGACATTAGCGACCATAAAAAGAAACATTCTACTTGTATATAAATCAATTACCTGTCATAATCAATGTCTTCTGGGAGCATTAACTCTTCGTCACGTCGAAATGCACGTATATCAGCCTCTTGCTTATCTAAAAATGTCCTATACCTGCCTATAATAGTAGTTGTTGAATTGAAAAATGACAGCCATGACGCTTCTAATACAGATGTATCAAGGTTAAATTTTCTTACTCTCAATAGCTATCCTTTCTCGTATCGTGGGGGGTATTTCGGCAAATTTTGGAACCATCTCGGTCAGTCTTCTCATTGACATATCCTTTGCCGTTAATATCTCGTAAGCGCTATAAGAATATGTATACGTTCATGTGAGCAAATTGCGTTTGATAGCAGATCTGTCGTAAAAGGAGAGTCACAATAAGTACTTTCTCTTTACACCATCGAAATTAATCTTGACACCAAGTATATCCCATTTCTGAGGAGGTAATTCAAACTCTTTCATTTGTCTGACTCCGTCTAGGAGCAACTCCTCCGTTTCTTGGAACACTTTTAATCGCTGTTCCGATACGCAATGTCCCTCTTTGTAACCTTATCAAAAAACAATTCAGTGAGACAAACGTTATTACCGTCAATATGATCGAGTACAATTAATACCTTTTCGCGTTAACCTAATATCTGCATTATCGGCACGTAATGATAGTCTATATTCGGAACGTGAAGTGAAAATTCTATATGGCTCTTCTACGCCTTTAGTTATTAGATCATCTATTAGTACACCAATATAAGCATCGGCCCGAGATAAGATAAATGGCGGCTTGTTTTGGACGGCAAGTCCAGCGTTTATGCCGGCTATGATTCCCTACAAACGTAAATGAGTTGTTAAAGGTATCAATTCTACTAGCACCATGTTTTATCAGTGTTCATACCTGTGCAGCAGCTTCTTCATATCCCGTGGTGCCATTTATTTGTCCTGCTAGAAACAATCCTTTAATTCGACGCGTTTCCAAAGTAGGTTTTAACTCGCGTGGATCGATGTAATCATACTCTACTCCATATCCTACATTCAATGTTAGAGTTATTAGATCTATTTCATAGCTGGTTAATAAAGGAAAGCAGTGTTTATCACAAACCTGCTCTCAACATTGTCACATTCTCCAAACCAGGAATAGTCCTTAACAACTGGCATTGGGTTTCTTCGGGAAGCGTGGTAGAAATTCCGTTGGGATATATAACATGGGTATCAAGGCCTATGGACACAGTATTCAAAGTATTTATAATCATGCTCTGGGTAAAATTTACTCTTTCTGTCATCACCTTCTGGCTCTAACCAAACAAAGTGTCCGCTCTTATCAGCAAATCGTATTACTTTCGCTTCAATTGATGGACAATATCTACCAAATACGGCGCTCTAATGAGGAAAAACAAGAAAGTGAATCTAACGACTGAATGGCGATGCTACCTACCTTGGTCCTTTAACCGTCTCTCTAATATGTATTGTCTCTGATAGATTATCCAGTATAATCTTATGTGTCTTAGCGCTCGTTTTAGTCAAGTAGCATTTAATTTGTTGATTCTAATCAGGGGATTAATGTAAGCATTGTCCTAGTGTGGAAGAATCTTGCAATAAACAGTATTAATACCTCATATGGAACTGTCTTATGAAGATAAGAGAATGGTGTCGCAGGTATGTCACCATTTTGTACCCTCAAATTGTCATAGTTTATAGTTCGGCCATCCAAACGAGGTGGAGTACCTTTGCATAACGTATTGATTTAGGTATTGAAATTGAGACCAAGATATACCTGCAATTTATTAAATACCTGTCTTTAGCCTCCCGAGACGAAACCCAGCCAATTCAAGTGATTTTGACAGACCGACAGATGCTTCCTCCCCAATACGACCAGCTGGGTACGCTTTTCTGCCTACTCATTTGGGATTATTGTATGCGATCATAATTATGCAATGATCAATGGCTTTTCTTATGCGGTATTTTTCATACCAATATGTATCTCTCCTTGTAGAAAAGTCCCTGTTGTAATAACGACTTTTGGCGCGTTTATGATTTCCCCTGATTCTGCAAAAATACACAATGTTAAAATGGTCAATGGCTTGTGAATTCATTTTAATTGCGCTGTAACCGCGGAAGCCCACCTAGTTTGACACCCTTTACGTATCCATAAATAGGAGCATCCGTCTCTTGCTCAATAACATCTGAGCTATGCGAGAGTAATATGTCATGCACACTTCCAATCTTTATTGTCAGATTCGGATAATTTTCTAAACAGTTTTGCATATGTTGCTTGTATAGTTTGCGATCAATCTGTGCTCGAGGACCCTGAAACAGTTTGATCATAGACAACGCTCTAGTCATGATCAAAAACTTCGGTAAGTGAATGCATTCTCGACATATCTTTGTAGATCATACATGTACTGCTGGTCCTTTTGATCTATTAAGGATGTGAAACTGTATGCCTGAAAGGTCTAATAAAGACCAACAATATCATATGAGTTGTTAAGCCTTGATGTAGTAAAGGTTATAAGCAGTCAGTTTCCTTCATACCATACCTGATATCCTTCCACAAAGACCATCCAACGCATCAATTTCTCTGACCATAATTCCCTTGCCAATTCCGCCAAACGATGGATTACATGACATTTCCCCTGTTGCGCAGTTAGTATAGTAAACAACAACGTATCAACAGAATTGGAAAAAAAGTTGTGGAAAAGATTTACCTATTGTGTCAAATCTTTGAGTAATTAACAACGTTCGCGCCCCTGTTCTCGCGGCAGCGGCACATGCTTCGGAACCTGCATGGCCACCACCAATAACTACAACATCATACTGAAAGGCTGGATTATGTATAGTCGATAGGGTTATTAATAATCTATTCAATTTAAGAGAGTTCGCACGAAAAAGAAGGGAATTTGGGCGAGCGCTGAGCTTGAAAAACATTCGGCAATGCAATGCTTTGATAATCAGACGGGCGGATCGAACCGCATCACTACATTTTTAAACGCCACAGATGGATCTTGTCAAGTCGATTGGTCAGATATTTGCTAATATTATTTTACATAGATGTGATGTTTTTATTATAATATGAGAAAAAGACATGTGGACAATTCAACATTCCCTAATATCTATCAGAAATGTTGATTATCACTATTTACATTCAAGAAAGTTAACGACTATGTGCACATCAATTTACTAAGCCTTTTTTCCGTATACAATCAGATTCGCTTAACAGACATACCATTGTTTAAACTACAATACGAGGGATGCTATATGCCTGACATAGTGATATGATAATCATTTCAAATTGTATGGTAACATTGACCACGTTTCTGCATTTTAAACCTCCTTTGAAACAACACCGTGCTACGGATATCTTGGAGGCTCATTATTAATCGAAGAGTCACGTTTAGTATTAGGTTCTTTTCCGCGCATTATAGGACGAGATAACATGTCATTGAAGCTTGTACGAACATTTATTAACAATTAAATGAGGTAGGAATTTTTCGAAACGCAAAAACACCGTTAAGGTAAAGGAAAGAATTTGCAACTCATGGTACTGATTTATTTAACACGAGCACATTTTATAGTAATAGTATGTCATTCATGTGAGCCCTGAGTGGATGAAATCTTGGAGGTTGCGTTCCTTTATTAATAACGAATGAATATTTTGGGAGACGACGCTCCAGAGAATGCTAATTTGAAAAACGACTCGCCACGCCGATCAAGCGATCGTTGACCAAATGAGTTTGTTAACCCGCATGAGATCTACATCAACTTGACTAAAAGTATCAACAAGAGATTGGTGCAAATTGTGCTTTTCTGTATCACCACTCCGTAATACATATATTTGTGCATGTTGCAAACATGTCATCCACCCGTTTACACCCGATGTCTTTGAATCATGTCATGAAGTGGGCTGACAACCTCTAGAGTATAAAGGATAGCTATTCTCCTTCTTTGCGCTGGACAGTGAAGAGGGATATTTTGTACAAAAATCTTATTAGACATCATACTATTATTATTATTTTACACTAGAATAATTAATAGAGATACAATGTTGAACAATCTTTTGACAAAGTCGATCCAAAGAAATGCAAGTACAAGCGCATTATTAAGAATCGTCTCAAGGACTTCAAGAACGGGATTCAATGTTAACAATCAGCAAATTAACATTATCCCCTCTCTTGCTTATGCAAGCTCTCGTTCTTCACTAAAACCAATCTCTTCAGTGCACTCACATACTTCCTTCAACTTTACTCGTAATCGTATACCACATTTACCGCTTGTCAAATATCGCCATTTTCATATGACATCACCCACGTTGGTTCCTATACTTCCTACCATTCTATTTGCCATTCCATTCAGCATACCATATTTGCTGCTGCTTCGAATAATTTCTCAACGGACTCTCACTGCTCAAACATTATCCAGACTTACCAGATCACTCGTTGCCATTATTTCTGTCGTACCCATTGGACTTGCTCTCGCATCCGACACGGCGCCGAATACATTTCGATGGAGAATGATGGTACTATGGCCATGGGAAGAGAAAGACTTGATTGCATCAGCCAAGACTTGTGTGCGCGAAGTTGTTGAGAATTCCACTCTTGTTATACCGGATGATCCACGTAGCATGATGATTGACCGTATATGTCAGAGATTGTGGAATGAGGGTGTGACTATGGAGAACAAGAGGCTGATCGAGAGAGAACCAAAAGTGTTGTTGATTCACGATGACGACGTATTGGATGGTGTGTCGTATCCGTCTTCAGACATTACGATTACAACGGGATGGCTGAGACTGGTTGATTTCGATGAAGAGATGATTGCAGCTATAATCGCTCATGAAATAGCGCATATACTACAAAGCCATGCGGCAGAATTCTATGGAATGTCATACATAGCCAAAGTAATAAACCAGTACAAGCAAATAGTGAGAATTGGAGGCAGTCACTCAAATAACGACAATGGCGATGATAGCTTAGATGATGGTCAGACAAATCTCCTGCGCCCGCGTGCATTTCTTCAAAAACACTCTCAGATACTTGAACGTGAAGCTGATATCGTCGGACAAGAGATAATGGCTCGTGCCGGATATGATCCTGGTGCCGCTATTGAATTATGGCAGCTCATGGTCGACTTGGAAAAATTTCAGCAAGAGCAACTGTCTCTACCTTCACAATCTTCCATTCCAGTGGGCTCCAGTCATGGACATGGAGTGCGACATAGTAGTGAAGAGGATAATGATATTATTATGCATCCTCCCAGAAGAGAGAGAGTAAAGTACTTGACTGAGAATTTGCTTACGGTGCAGAAATTATATGAAGAAGCAGCCGCAAAAGGAAAATCAGCCGACAACTTTGAAGGCGATTTAAATTTGCAGAGAATAGAAATGACACTTTGGGGTATATTTTATGATATAAACGGGTTTTCATAATTATTATTTTTTATTATAGATTTTTTTGAATAACTAATCAATGGTCAGATATTAATATCAACAAAATGATATTGTAATTGGCATGTAATTTAATGTGGTTGTCTTGGTTTAGTATTAATTAATAAACTTGTTATGCACTAAGACTTACTCAAAATTTACCCCAAAAGATGGATGACTATGACCAGCTTTCAGATTCAAGATTGTTATTGTTAGCTAAATGATGCATTTAACAATAAGGAGATGATATAAAGTACAGAGCCTAGTAGGAGTCATCCCAAATATACAGAAGCCCATGATAATGATGTAATAGTAATGAGTGTAATTCCGCAAATCTAGTAATTCTGGAAGTCCTGTATTAGTATGTGAAGTCACTGATTTCAATTGCATACTAATACAACACATACACAAATAGCTGTCCATAGCATCTCGATTCAGGAACCTACAGCAGTTATTTTGGTTGCATGCAGGGAAAGTAATGAGAATGTTCCAGGTCTGATAATGAAACAACGGGAGGTAAGACTGGCAATACAATGCTATCAAAGTAATAGTAGTATCACAATGAAAATTAATCATCAAAGGAAATCCAACCCACAGAGAAGTCAATATTTCACCAGAAATGTGACTTGAATAGAAACAAATCTTAATTATGGCTTGTGAAAGGTTGAATTTTACAAGAGATTATCTTTGCTTAGATTATATTATTGGATAGCGAAAAACTGTCGAGAAACCAATTTGTTACTGACAGCAAAAATCAGCTCATGTTAATGTATCTTCGAAGAATTTTATTGAGCAGAAGAAAATGAAAATTATAAGGTAATGTATTATCTTGAAAATGATTCTGTAAGAGCTCAAAAGCTCTTGGATTTATTACACCATTTTTGGGAGAAGTAATATTACTGAACTCATCATTGATTCAGCGTATAAGACAAACCAAGACTGCTTGGTATTGGAGCTTTTTTGCCGTAGTAATTAACAATGGCGGCTATGGTGTACTTCTTGCATACCTACATTTGTTCTTTCAAAAGATATTTCTGACAGCAATAACGATAATCGGGTTCAAAATCGGGAGGAGTTTTTTTTTTTTTTTTTGCCTTGCGACAAGAAAACATTCTTCCGATATTTGTTCTGTTGATAAGAACATCGGTCGGATTAAAGTTGAGAATTTTATAAGCAGAAATAAACTTTTAAACTTTTCTGATATAGTAATAGTTAAGGGTGAAATGAACAAATGTTATTTCTGATGCCCGAAAATTGTGAATGAGAACCGCATCTTGCCGTCGTGTAACAAATTTACTACTTTATATGGGTCCCTGCATGAAGCGGTTGTTTACAGTTTCTTCAGTAACACAAACAAACAGTTACGTAACTGCGCATACTTGTAAATAGAATCTACAAAAACATTGAAAAACCGCATCCTGATATCCCGACATCCTGACATCTTTTGAAATCTTAGATACAATCTTATAGTTCTGAGATGGACCGCTGTATTATGCAAAAGTATCTTTGTCTTTCTCTTCATAAACATGTTCGCTTATACTATCATTGTTGTACTAGACAACCGTGAGAATGAGCATTACCATTACCTAAGATTGTTATGGTAAGCGTTCATGTAATCACATATCCCTTTCTTTGTCGTGCAGCTAACAAATTTTACATACAATCGACAATTGTACTCTATTCATCATACAACATAATGGAAGTAGCTACATATAAACGAAAATCATATGAAGAAAACAGACTCTGAACTAATATATAAATGGAAGCCGTTTTATTGAATGGAATAACTTATTCTAGATATAGATTAGTCTTCGAACCGACATTCGGCGTGTAACATTAGATAGTATTCAAACAGAGGAAAAGCCGATACCAACTTTACTGTACATTATACAACAACAAGTCATCATTCCATACGTACAATACAAGAAATCACTTCTATTACTATGACACTCTCTTCCTCCCTTCCTTCTCCCAACCTAATCCGCTTCTTCACGTCCCTATCTTCTTCCCCAACACCACCATCCTTTGAATGGATTCCATATGATCGATTAAAATCAATTTCCTACTTCGCGTCGGGTGAATTTAGCTCTGTTGCGCGGAGCGTCTGGTTGGACGGAAGAAAAATAGTTCGTATAGATAAAGATGGGAACAAATGCGTGGTTAGGGAGGGTGAGACAGAAGTTTGTGTTAAGAGGTTGGACGGATGGAGAGGCGTCGTGGAGAAGGGATTAGACAAGGTAAAGTCGGTGCAAAGTGGATACATTTCTGTGTAGGTTCAAGAGATAGCCCTTGCTTACAAGTTAGAATTACTCTCGCATTCAATCCCCAGCTTTATAAAGGACTGACAGCGTGTCCAAGCCAAACATCTTATTACTACGGACTGTCGATAGATCCCATCACAAATGACATACTTTTAATAATGAAATACTTCCCCCACGGAGACCTATGCTACTTTTTCTATTCTCCAAACCCAGCGACCAACCTCTCCTGGCTGAACCGCCTAAAAATTCTCAGGTCCGTTGCATCTGCATTAGTAGATATTCACAAGGCAGGAATGGTACATGGCAATATACATCCTAAAAACATAATGCGTGACATTAACGGGAACGAGGATAACTGGGTATTGGGAGACTTGGGGGGAGGAGGAATTGAAGGATGCATGGACAAAGAGACTTGGGCAAGGAAAAACGAAAACACGGCAGGAGGAGAGAACAATGTAGAGAAATGCAATGGTGTAAGCAGTGAGCTTTTGCAAGTTGAAACGCTTAAACAGGAAATAGAGTCTTCCAGAGATGATGGCCGTTCACTAATCGACGATAGCGACGAAGACTATTCTCCCCACACGTCATGCTTATCACTTTACGCGACTTGTGGTGAAATGATTGGAGTACTTCCATACACTTCGCCTGAAATTCTTCGTGGATGTCACCCATCTTCACATTCAGATATTTATAGTCTCGGCATCCTAATGTCTGAACTTGTTTCTCTCTTTCCGCCATATTACTCTTCGTTGTTATCACCCAATCTCACGCTCGATAATCTTCTTCTTGACATTTGTGATGGATATCGTCCAAGAATTTCTCCACATGCTCCAGGGTGCTTTATCAATCTAATGAAGAAATGTTGGTGTGATACAGCATCGTATAGGCCAGGTGCCAGAGAGGTGCTTGAGATTGTTGATCGGTGGTGTAGAGAAGTAGAGGGGAATGGAACTGTTGGTAATGGTGAGCGCATCGTCTTACTGGAAGTTGAACGGGGTGTCAGTGGAAGCGTAGATTATGATAAAGTAAGGAAGATGTATGAGAGTAAGAAGATCAAACTGACTCGTTTGAGTGAGAATGAGTGGGAAGATAAAACTGAGAGTCTGGAAAGTTCGGTGATGCTGGATAAGAATTTGGCCCTTTTAAAATATTTTAACGGTAAGTGTGAGAATTATATGGATTGATTTGATTGGGCAGAATATAAATAGAATTTGACAAGTTTATGCGCGCGGCCTACAGAAACATACAACAAAGGTAACGAATTACCTGGCCAATATATTACTCACTCTAGAGATTATTTTCTAGCATGGTTAGGTACGTTTGATGGGAGCGAACGCGAATATATTTTATCGACTTCTATACTCTAATATCCCTCTTTATATTCATAGAAAATATTGACAATAGAATTCTGCTGCCTGAATAGTTAATTGAATGTGGTAAATCCACAGAATGTCTACCAAGTGTATATAGGAAATAAAAAGTTGAACGATTCAAAACTGCCCAGACAAGGGTAGCTCGTGGATGGCTTTTGAAATAAAAGAAAACAAAACTTTACTTATAACGTCTGTCATTATGATACTAGGAATCAGTGAGACCGAGCTGTGTACAGCGTAAAACCCATCGAACTTATTCAAGAAAGTGCCACGTTAAACCATAGATACTGTATATTAATATTAGTCGAATTAATCAATAATCGTGACTAACGAATGAGTGAATTTATGGACCATCAACTATCATAGTTCGCTGGAACAATATTTATTAATAAACCGTATTTCCCTGAATCAAATAATTTATTGTTATACCTGCATTGAATTACTATTAACGAAATGGTTCAACGGCAGTTCCATCTTAAATAACAAGACGTGCCCATACCAACTATCTTTTAAAGTCGTGGGCCACAATATCGCATCAAGAGTAAAATGGTATATGGTATAAGGTATAAGTATCTGCTGACGCTTTCAAGCCAGACATCATAATCTCGCACTGACTAAAGGCCTTTGTTAACACGCGCATGATCGTTCTATTTGAAGATCAGACCGTTCAAATCTTTTCTTGCAACAAATTAGAAAGTCTACTGACGTTGGGTAAAGAAAGGAGAATGTGAAATTAAACATATAATTTAGGCTATCATTATGGCAGTTGGATCTTGCTGAAGGGCTAACACCAAACAAGAAATGTTTTGTGTGGGGATACTGGTACAAATTCGATTGTCCAATCACATGTGTCAAATCGAATATTATTTCCGTGAAACAATTTTTGCTTTCCTGATCACACTTGACATATTACACGCGCATTCAGTTCCTAGTCACGTCTCTTTTATCGTAAACGACAATGAGGCTAGGAAAGATAGTCGCAATTGTGTTGTTATCCATTATAGGATTAGTGAACGTGAATCTCGTTGATGCATTGTACGAGAGTCAAGTGGGAGTTAATGACTGGCATCATCAATATGTTGGTACACCAACGATTTCCTTTTTCCACAAGCTATCAAACAGCAAATTAGTAGCATTAGTGGCCACAGACAAGCATGTTGTTGCTGCATTAAATCCAACAAGTGGCAACATAAGTAAGAATTGTATTTGATTATATGTTATCCGTCAATGTCTATAAACTGGCATTGCTTAATTCTCCTATGAATGTTCATTTAGCATGGCGACAGATTCTCGACGAACGTGAGAACATAATAGGTTTGAAAGCGAACAAAGACTGTGAGTAAGCTACATGCATAAAAGTTTGTTTTTTCTTCTGAATTATTGTCTAAAATATTTGTTACTTGTGACAGACGTTGTATCTGTCTCAATTGCTGTTGATTATGTCATTCGTCTGTGGGACGGATTGTCGGGCAAATTATTATGGGAGAACATTGTCAAGAAATCTGACGAGGCCACCAGACTAGAGAAGGCTGATGTGATTTTTTTCGAGGAACGAACCCTCAATCGCAATCTTATTCGACAGTCTGACCATGGCAAAGTTTGATCTCAATGACGGAAAGAAGGTTTGGGTCAACAATAATGACCATAATAAGTAAAGAAACGTTTACTAGTATTGATCCTTTTGCCTACATGTCCTCTTCCTTTTATTTACATTGTGTTTACCTTCAAACAAAGGCAAGCGAAATTTTTGAGGATTGTAGATAATGGCTTAATGATCAATGCAGTTGCGCTAGTCAGACAATCAAGCAAATATCTTTCCATTCGAGTAGTAACTTACGGCTTAGTAACCGGGGATGTGTTAAAGACTCTCGACCTCAAGTCTAGGGTTGAAAATGAGAAAAGTGTAATAGTTGTTGGCGGGGCCGAAGATTTCAAAGCGTTTGTCATTTGGACCGAAAAGCCAAACATGCGTGCCAATCGCCTTGGACGAGATGATATAGCAACTGAAGCTTCGCTTATGGTATGCCACTTTTTGATTTATTTCATCGGGACAATATATTAAATAGTCAGTAATATTAATGATTTATTGATAACAGGGCCTGTATAATAATGTTATTCCGTCTTTCGCGGAGGCCGATGGTCCATTAGAATTCATTGATCTGGATGTGGGAACTAGGACAGAATTTTTAGTAGAAGTTCCTACAAAGTACGGAACTACCGCTGCTATATTAAAAATAGATACGGAAGGAGGGCGATTTCTGGCACTTCATGATATGGATGAGAGGGTAATTTAAATTGTAAAAGTTTAATGACTGGATGAGTCGTGGTTTACCAATCGTTCTATAATAGGAAGGAAAGTCGGTTTATTCCGCTGCGTTTGATAGTAAGGGGAAGCTATACGTCTCTAGAGTATTCAAAGAAGCATCGGTTAGTCTACGTTTGCCTTGAGACTTTTATTTTACAGGATAACATAGACTAATAATATGTGTTCTTTATTAGAAAGGTGTCAACCTCGAGATAGTCCAAATAGCAACTCATCAGACAATTGTCACTCAAGAAATCAACCATTCAGTTGCCAATTACGGATATATGACCTCGGTAATGATTATTATTGATGATTGTTCTCCATTTGTTAGATTCTCTAACAATGGTTTTCCTTGCAGTCAATTTTATGCATGTATTGCGATGAGCCCGACACAAAGTATCGCATGATCCTACTATCTTCGGATGGCTCAGTTCATTCATGGAAGGATGCATCTATATCGTGGACGAGAGAGGAATCTCTTGCGCATGCTGTTGGTGTAGAATTTGTTGATTTGCCAGAAAAGAAACTATGGTCGCAAGAGGTTGACGAGCTTGGTATGGACACATATACATATACACAAAACTTTAGTGTGCAGTTTTACCTATTAATTATCTATGTGACCGCTTTAGATGAGGATGCCGAAAAAGTTGAAACTATTACACCACTTAACCGATATATTCGCCGAGTTTCCACACACATTAGTCAGCTACGAGTATGACATGTCGTTATTTGTTGAGCTTTTGTTTTACCTTGAAATGCAAGTTTGTGTTCTGATGTTTATAAATCTTGTTACAGGATCTTTTGGATTATTTTATCACGTACATTACTCGACTAATTGCTAATGACAAGTCGGCTATTACCACAACAAAATCGAGAGATTCTGCTAGTCTACACAGAGACATTTATGGTTTTAGAAAGATATTGGTATTCGTGACACCAAAAAAACTCATTGCGTTGGATTCTGCTAGAAAAGGCGAGATTGTTTGGACACGATACTTTAATTACGCGTTCTTGGATTTGCAAAAGATTTTTGTAGTCCGTGCTGCCATGATCAAATATCCACCAGTGATTGCTGTACTTGGGAAACAGAATGCATCAGGAGTATGTAAGATATGCATTATTTGACCAGCTTTTATGATTATCTTATCTGACAAACATTCTATTAATTAGGGCGAGATTGAGACACGCCTGTTCCGGTTGAATGCGTTGACTGGCGGAGATTTTGAACCCGAGTCCAAATACGATTTTTTTCAGCAGATATTTCACTCCCACTAAATTTTATAAAGACTATTAGGCTGCCCATTGAAGAGCCTGGCGAAAGAACGCACATTCTCGCATTGATTGATGCAAAACTCCAGGCAAGTACGTCTATGTTTCAATAAATTTTTTAAAACAACAGCTGATTAACCTCAAATTATCAAACTAGATCCATCTCTATCCTAACACACATGCGGCACAAGCATTCTTTCAAACGTTTGCAAAGACATTTTATTTTGTGTTGGAAAGGGAGAATAGGCTGAGTGGTTATAAAGTGCTGAATAACGGATCGCATAAGGTAAAATTTTTGGGAAGATAAAGAAAATTAGTTAATACTACTAAAACTATCCTTCTTCAATAGACCATTACGACAATGGAGATCTGGTCAATAGCATTTCCAAACGAAGCAATCGTCTCTGTTGGACAACGCCCTTTACACGGTAATCATTCTGCTAGCCGCACGTCTGTAATATTGAAACAATTATGCTAATTTTTCTCAAACTATTGACAGAGAAAGTTTCCTCTTTGGGTCGTGTGCTAGGCGATCGATCGGTATTATACAAGTATTTGAACCCACATCTGGTTGCCGTGGCAACCTTCTCTTCGTCAACAGACCCCAAGTCCTTGAGTATTTACTTGATAGATATTGTCAAGGGTTCCATTTTATATCATGCTGTACACGAGAATGTCAGTCCATTACATCGAGTGTTTTTGATTCAAGCCGAAAATTACATCCTATACCACTTTTGGAGTGATGGGGATCCGGTGAAAGGAGATGGAAAAGGCTTCCAGGTAGTCGTTTGTGACTTGTACGAGAGCGAACATAAGGATGAACGATTCGAGAGGTGAGGCGAAGCAATATTTTTTAAAATTCAGACACTGGTATAAACTTTTCGGCCTGGAATGAAATGGTCACTAACACTAACCTGTTTGTCAACTAGTGCCAACTTTTCCTCATTTTCGCACGAGAGACCGTATGTTGATACTAAAGCATTCATGTTTCCACATGGAATAAATGCTATTGGTGTGACAACTACAAAGAATGGGATCACAACGCGGGAATTCCTATGTAATTTAATTTAATCATTTATACGTTTAATGCGCACAACTCTATAAACTAACTTTTGTTGTATAGTTGCTACAACGAATGACCAAGTTTATGGCATCGCCAAACGTGTTCTTGACGCGCGCAGACCAACCCATGCGCTTACTGCCGAAGACAAGGAAGAAATGCTGATTCCCTATGATCCTGCTATTCCAGATAACAGAAAATCTATGCTGAGCTATTACTTGACGGTAAAACCAAAGACTAAATCTTTGTGAACGTTTGCCAAGGGCACGATTGATTCTTTTATTCCTCTTCTGGTTTAGGTTGCTGGGATTCGCCATATCACTACATCTCCCGCTCTACTAGAATCGACGTCTCTTGTTCTTGCTTACGGTCTAGATATATGGTTTACAAGAGAAGCGCCTTCAAAAACGTTTGATGTATTAAGTGAAGATTTCAGCAAGGAGACATTAGTCACGACAATTGTTGGGCTATTGATTGGAATTATTGTTACTCGACCAATTGTAAGTTGTGCGGTTCTTGTTGACGTCGGATGTTTGACATGTCGAGCGCGGATAATGCTAAATGGGAATGTACTCTGTTGTTTCTTTCTTGTAGGTCAACCGAAAGAAGATCAACGCTCGTTGGTATTAACCTGATACTGCTAACTATAGACTATTTAATAGCTCATAGATAAATGAAAAATGGAACACGTTAATGTGTCATCTAATAAAAATTCGTATGGTCAAAAGACCTAAAATTAACGAGATGCTTGAACATTATATGCACAGATATTTATTAACATTCTATCATTACTCTATTAGAAATTTACACAATTTTTAAATGACATGATAGACTACTCGGTCTATGAAGTTAGCTTACGCATTGCAATTATTATTAAATGCCATAGAAATCTACATACACCCGAAAACACATCAGTGCCTCATGAATTCGTTATTGGGATTCCCAATTAGCCTGCTATTTTTGCTCGCTTACAAGAGTAAAGTTCTAATGTCCGTCTAATCCAATTCAGCCTCAATAATTATAATAGCTCTTTCTCCTTTTAACCTCTCCTTCTTCCTTCTCATCATCGTCGTCATCGTCGTCATAACGACGCCGCTTTCTAACAGCTGCAACATATCCCTCTAGAACGTCTGGAGAAGCTTCCGCGATTGCCCATAACGGAGGAATGCCCTTTCCATCCCATTGTGGAGGCGCTCGATCTCTTCTATGACCATTCGTTGATTCAGACCGCTTTGATGATTTCTTTTCTTCGACATTAGATGAAGATACTCGCCGCGTATGTTCATGCGAAGTTTCATCTATATCGTATCCTGCTTCTTTTTGTACATTAGCTATTACTGTTAGGACATGATTTATTTTATCCAAGCGTGACTTGTAAATGTCATCCAATTCCTTTTCCTTTGTTTCGAGATCTAATATTTCTTTGCCGAGCTCGGCTATTTCGCTGAAAAACAATATTCAAGATGATTTTAGTTGATCTTGTAGTGAAAAAACTAAACACAATACAAATGTTTTTTTTTGCTCACTTTAAAGTTTCTTCTCTTCGTTTGTGCTGTTTAATCTCTGAAGCTAATGTATTATATTCTTCCTTTCTTGATTTCTTTAACTCTTCAACCCTTAGTTGACTTTCCAACGCCGCTATTTCAGCTTTTGCTTCCTCGATTTCAGCCACTATGTATGAAAAGCCGATTGTAGTTAACATTAAGTATTGTCACATATAAAAGACGACTAATCAGGGAGTACTTACTCATTGCCTGTGTTTCTAACTCATACCTTTGCCTTTCCCACACATTCATATCATGAACACGTTGGAAGCGCATCATATTCAACTCGTACATGTAAAGTTCAAACAGAACGTCGTCATAATGTTTAAATCTAAAAATTGTACATTCTTGAATTGAGTTTTCCTTCTTTTACTGATTTGATCATAACCTAGAACTACATACGCATCCTCCAAGTCGCTTTTCGTTATAGCATTCTTCCAGTTAGTGTGTTTCTTTATAACCCTTAATATAGGTTTCTCATCGATCGCTGGTCTGTTATCTTGATCGCCTTTATCAGCTACTTAAGACAAATTATAGAGTTACTGATGAATCTAATCCGGGACAATAATACAAACAATAGTGACTCGACTAACCTTCAGTAGTTGTTGAGTCGGTCTTTGGTTGACCCATTTCGGTCATTAGCGCTTGACTGATGGTGGTATGGAGTATCTAGATTTCGTGGTACCCCAGCTGCTACGTTAAACTATTCAGGTTGTAGTAAAGTATATTAAGCACAAGAAAGTCTTGAACAAAGCGTAACTACACTTTGGTCAGGTTAAAAGCAGAATGATCCTTTCCAACTATCGTTATGTTGGACATCATTATAATAAAAAAAATATAACGCCACACAATATTGCAGGGGCTCATACTGCTGAGCGCCACAGTTTTCAAAAAGTAAAGCGTTAATATCCACCATTGTCTTTTTTCTTTTTTGTACTCGCTCCTATTCTTATTAAAAAGACCGTATTTATTTGTTCGCTTTTCAGGCAATTCGTTTGAGTATTCGTTCTTTGAGAGTACCATTTGTTTTTATTTGCTATTGCTCTAGTAAACCAAACTTCCAAAATGGTTTGTTTCAAATTTACATGCAGAGGGAGATAAACTTTTAATAGAAAAGAAGTGGTTTCCTGTATGGATAGACCATTCCAATATTAATGAATGCGAGATGGAAAATGTTTGAGGATGGAATAAAAATGACATGTTACGTTGATAAGAAATGAGGTTGTAAATATATAAAAAGCCGTTTAAATATATAACGGTCATTAGGTGTTTGTTATCTAGCGATTGCTGTACATGTATAGGGGTATCACATGAATGTCTAAGAATTATAATTATAACACTTCTAGAGTCTAAAATAATGTATCCGGGTATTGGTGAGATATATTCCCATACGTTGTATTTGTAAAAAATATTTCTGGCAAAATGTAGTCGTAAGTTGATCTAACATCTTATTGTATGTATGCGATTTTCAATTTGACTTTGCTCAATGTTGCACAATGCATAATTCCAATATTAATACGATCAACAGTCCCATACTCGTCGTTTTCTAGTTCAAATCCAATCCATATGAACAAGTTGGTATACGAATTTAATATGCTAACACTAAAAGAATGACTTGCTTTTTGCCGGATTTGTATAATTTGTGTTAGAATTCACATATGAAGATCGTTTCTTTTTTGATTACTATGCCCATTATTGGCAAATCCGGCAAATACTTTTAGTAGGCACGTGCAATGAATAATAATAGTCCCGTTAATTGGGTAAGATCCTTTGTTATTTAAGACGGAGAATTGGCCTTCGGCTCTAAAAGAATACAACACTCGTAATTCAAAATCTGTCAACCACGAAAAAATTGCAAAGGGGCGAGTGAGTGAGTGGATTAGTGGGAGTTTTTCCATGATGATCATGACGCTACTCGTACCCTAAAAAGTACCCGAAAAAAATTGTTCGGATCATGTGAAAATGTTCGGATTACTATTACGTGGAAATGTTCGGGTTAGTACGGGTCGGAACGTCCAAGTGTTTATTATTATTGTTACGGCAAGCTGATCTGATGAGTTAGTCACATGATAAAATCTTCCTCCGCAGTTAAACAAACCATGATCGGCACTAATTTTAGTCGCAAAATATGTGACCAGCACAAACGCTAAAATTCTTCATAGTATAATAATTTATATAGAAACGTGTCGTTTTTCTTGTGACAGAAAAGATATATAAGTAGCTCTCCCTCAAATGTTCATGTTGTAATACTATCCATATGAAATAAAATAATACTACTGATCTTAGTAGTATTCTCCCGAAATCCTTTATTATAAATATACCTAATTTAATTTCTATCGTCGAAATAATTGATTATTAGACCGGACACTCCAATAAACGGCTCACTTAAGCTGTAACGG